TTTCCCTAGATAAGGCCGTACTGGTTTAGGTGGGGGTGTGCACATATAGATCAAAGAGCAGAAGCTGAATCTTGCTGTCCCTGCAAACAATTAAGCCTTTTCCTCTGGCCCTGATGGGGGGCAGGGGAGGGCTGGAAGCTGATTAGAAGCACAGCAGGGAAGACAAGTGGCTGGGAGGTCCCCGAGACACACATGCTCATGGCTGGCAGTTTCAGTGCTCTCAGCTAGCTGGCAGCTCTGCGTGTGACCAGCCTACCAGGCTTTACAAAACCGGATCCAAGGAACCCTTTTACAAGGACGTTCCTGTTGCTCAGAGACGCACTGTCACCCTAAAATCCTCAACAGGGCCCTTTTCAAAGCCCGAGGAAGAAAAGAGTGTTAGAAAGCAGCAGATTTGCAACACTAGAAAAAACGTGGAGGCGAGAGCCAACATAGCGCGCGATTCCCATCTGCTCAGGAAGGGGAGCTCAGCCCTTCGCAGCCTCTTGTGACTTCAGTGATAACAGCTTCGTGCCTGGCCTTCTTCCCATTGCAGATGCTGATGCAGTATTTATACTATGGAGGAACAGAATCTATGGAAATTCCCACCACCGATATCTTGGAGGTGAGAATGTTTTCTTCCAAGTCTTGCCAAGTGCACTGGGGCATAAATAGAGCTTGAAAGGCAAAAATCCAGAAGCTAACAGCAAGCTTCCAGTCCAGGAGTATACTTACTGAAACGAGCTTAAAGTTTCAAAACACCATTGCTTGGAAATAAGAACTACCAATTATGTTTTACTAAGTCCATGAGATGCTGGGGGCGGTGCTGGTGGCAGGGAGAGAAAGCACTCTACAGTGCTTTTGGTACCTGGAGTTGGGTGGAAGCCTCCTTTGCACATCCTCTCTGTCCTGGGAGAAGGATGCAGGCGTGTTGCGCTTTTGGTGGGGCACAGAAAAGGTGCAGCTGACTCAGCAGCTCTGGTTCCCAGAGCAGGCCAAACACCAAGGGGCTGGGGATTGCAGAGAAATGACTGATTTCAAGCCGAACTTCTGCAGAGCAGCTTATGGTACTGCAAAGACTGGACAAGGAGCGCTTCTCTGTTGCAGATAGGTCCTTTTCCAACAATGCTGCTCAGTCACAGTAGTCTGGTGAAATAAAAGCTTGCAGCTAAAGACAACACACAACTATTTTTTTTCTGAGGAGAGGAAAGGAGGCTTTGAGCAGTCTAGAGCTCGTATGTCGTGACACAAAGTAGCACAAATGCACTTTCTGCAGCAGGAGCAAGCCTTTGCTAAGAGAGGAAATCTGTCTGTCGCTTTAGCTAGGCATTGAGTGGCCCTTCTGCTATTTCATGAGGACTCGGCCATTAAAACAGGGAGTCAGAGATCGTACAGGGAGAAAATCATCAGTTCTGTCTGTTTGCCTTCTCTAAAAGCCTTTCAAGGCTCATGATCCCAAATAGCTTCTTCTCTCTTGTCCTGATAGCTGTTGTCGGCTGCCAGCCTGTTTCAACTGGATGGCCTCCAGAGACACTGTGAAATCCTCTGTGCCCAGACGATCAGCCTGGAGAACTCCGTTAACATCTATAAATATGCAAAGGTATATGCCAAACTGCCTTGTTTAAGAATCACAATGACCCAGCACACATGCTTTCTGCAGTCTCGGTTTGTAACTAAATACAACAGGCACGGAGTGGGCACCTGCTGGGCCTGCAACCACAAGCAAGATGCTGCATTCAAGATCCAGTCTGTAAAGTCCTACATAGCCCCAGTATGTTTTCTTGTCCAAAGCACTCACGTATGAAATTGATCCCTACAGAGCAGGGGGGAGGTGTCTTAGCAGGCTGATACAGCAACAGAATTCAGCAAAGCCGGAGAGACTCAAACCCTCAGAGCAGCAGGGGCAACTGATCACAGTAGAGCAGCTAAGAAGTAAACCCTTTTCTAGCACTCCTACCGCTAACACACATCCTCTACAGCTCCAGAACTAGCATAAACTCTCTTCTGAGACATTGATATTCACCTCTATAGCAAATAACCCATGTTATCAGTAAATTCATAGAGAAGTACTTTGTCATTCCAGGAGGACTGCAGGGTCAGATCCCATTAAAGACAAGCAGAAAGACTACACACAGGGCTGATAACAATGCGCATGTTTATGTTTTGTGTAGTGATCCTTTTTGATTCCTGACTGTCATGCTGGGCTATTTTTTCCATGGAACTCAGGCTGGTTTCTTTCAGGACCTAAAAATTTAACAGTATGCAGTGGTAAACAGGGAGAAGGGAGTATTCCCTACTCACCTACAGTACTTTTCCTTAAATTACTGTTTGCACAGAGTTCCCAGAACCACTGTGTGTGCAAAGAGCTTCTTAATACTGAACTTGAGTTTCATTGTTTTCCTATTACTGAGCTTCCCCTCCTGGTTCCGAAGCAAAGGGAACCAGATCACAGCCAGAAATCCACCTCACCTGTTTTACAGGTAACATCCCTATTTTCCTACGTTCAGCTCCTTTTTCTAGGAGTTGGGCTTACATCCTGTGAACTGTATTCTCGCCGCCACGAGCTGTGCGTGCCATCTGGCAGCGCAGTGTTTTATGCTGCGCCACACGAACTCCCTGCTCGCACAGCTGAACAGGTATCTTGGCCACTTCATCAGCCAGCTGCTCTGCTCCTTTAAGAGGAAGAGACTGGAGTGCGGGCCAGTGGCTCTGCCAACAGCAGGCCACCACGGGAAGGAAAGAAAAAAAGCTTGAAGGCCTCCCTGCTCACACCTGTGCCTGCAAAAAGCACCAAAAGAAATGATCAGCCGTCACTCTGTGCTTTTCCACTGTTATTACTGTCTTTCATTTTCTGGCTTAGAAAACGTTGAAGGGCAAAGCATGAGAAATGAGAAGAGGCTCAGGCATGTCCTTTAGGTCTGTGACATAACTCATCTTCCTCTCTCCTGCAGATTCACAACGCACCTGAACTAGCCTCTTTTTGTGAAGGCTTCTTCCTCAAACATATGAGCTCTCTTCTAGAGCAGGACTCATTCAAACAGCTGATCTACAGCAGGAACAGCAAAGTGCAAGGCCTGGACCCCCTGCGGGACTTGCAGACAGCCCTGGCCGGCCGCCTGCACTCTGTGTACGTCACCTCCAGGGTGTGAAGCAGGAGCAAGGCAGTGGCAGGAGCACTAGTTCAAACTGCACGGGGATGCGTCGTCAGGCAAGGCTGTAGCTTTCCTGTTTGCCTTCCGGATCTTGCTGAAAGTCCCGTACCACAGACACCCCCCAGGCAAGGGTGCTGTGCCTCATCCCACTGACGGGGAGGGAGCTGGCTTCTCTGTGCTACTACTGTCATGGCGCAAACAAGAGCTGTGGATGCACGTGAAAAACCTGAACCGAAGAGAAGATCAATGCTGCCATTTAAACAAGCACAACGCAGGGCTGCAGAGAAGCGAGGCAATTCACCTAGACCCAACATCTAATACGTAGTCTTAAGTGTCTGCCTGCACACCGTAAGGGCCACCTAGTTCACACACGTAGATGTTTTACTTGTCAAAAGGCTGCATAGAAGGAGTTTTCTAATCCCGTGGACCACTGCCCATTCAATGAGTCATCTGTCTGAACACAAAGGCTGGTGTACACAGACTACTTCATGACAGTAATAAACACCAGTGTCTATAGGTGGCAAGAGACTCTTGACATAAATTTCCCCCCAAACTGTTTGCACCTTGAGAGAGAGAAATTTTGTAGATGTTCAAAGCTGAGTAGAAACTGATGCTAACTCTTTAAACCTAACATGAAGAACCGAGCTGGGGCAGGGAGGGAAGAATTGGTTTTCTGTATTTTTTTAATACGATTTCACTGTAATAGTTGTTAATCTAGATCCATTTTGAGGAGGGGAGAAAAAAAAAAGACTCTACCTTTTCACTTTCACAGTTTGATAGTCTCAATCACTTTCACCTTAAAAACCTATTCTGAACATTATCTGTGAGACCTGACACCATAAAAGATGGTCTCTAAAAGACTCAGGTGTAGTAGGAGCCAGCACTATGCTGAAAAACTGTCCAATAGCATAAATAGCAATAAAAGTCTCCCTTAGACCTCGAGGAACATATAGCTTGATGGTTTGTTCTCTCTCTGGAGCTAGTCTCCACTTCCACAGCCTCATCCATGGAATGATGTCTTTTCCACTGACACGCTACCTCAGCGGGGACTGGGCAGAGTGCACACCTGACTGGTTCCTAGAGGTAGGCTGCAGTCTAACATTTAGGCGGCAGCACTTGGACAAGATGCCTCAACCGGAATGCGCAAGATTCACATTTTTCCTTTGTTCACTGCGGACAGATGTTTCTGGTCCAAAAGGACTCATTCTGGGCTGCCTTCTAGCTGAGTTAGAACTAAAAGGAGACAGTTCAACCTACAGATTTGTGTTTGAAGCAATGTTTTTGTGTGTTTTTTATTTTAAATAACATGTAGGAAGGCAGTTAGTTGTGTAAAAACACAGACCTTGCTCTTATCAATAGCTTTAAGGAAAGACCTTCAGATACTCCCACTGATCTTTGTTAGCACCCACCGAAAGCATTTGCTAAGAAGCTTTCAATCGTTATAGGTGGGTGAAGGAGAAGAGGGAGCCAAGTTTTCAGTGAAGAACTACTTCTTCTTAGAAATTCAACAATTAATATTGTGACTAAACACACTGAAAGAAGGAGGCTCAGCTGGGCCCAAGCTCCAAAGCACGACATAGAAATGGTTTAGGTAGATGAAAGGAAGGAGAACAAATTCCAACAAATCCATCAAAATCTGACATCACCTCATTCCTAAAGGATTTACATCAGAGGCAAACTGCATGCAAGGATAAGAATGATTAATCTAGGCTCAGTAAGCTGACAGACAAGTTGGTCAGGGCACACTCCAATTTGTGCTTTAGGTACCCATCCACTTTTGAAGCTCACCAGCTTCAGTAACCTTATTTATTATCCAAAAGCTATACAGGTGCTTCAAACTTATCACTGGTCTGCCTAAAAAATACCACAAAAGGTTTTATCTTGGAAAGTATTTTCAAGTAGCTGTTCCAGCTGTCTGTACAAATAGGTAGGTAGGTCCTCTTTTGTTGCTGTACTATCACAATGCTTTGTTAATTGTACATTAATGTTGTCATTTATGTAAATGTACCAGGATTTTATTAACAACATAATTTTAAAATACACAGCTGCTGTTATTTATTCTGCTTTTCTAACAACGAGAACAAACATATTTAAAGACACTTCTGTGGAAAAGGCAGTTGCAGATATATCATCTTAAATTTGGTTTGGTACATACACCTGATGTTATGCTTTAAAACAAGAGAGAGAGAGGCATTCACTTCCCCTTCCTAGGCTTAAACATTTTTGGAAGTAGTAAGTTTAACTTGCATTTTCCCTAGCTGAAGTAAGTTTACCTGCTTTTCATCAAAAAGCACTAGATGGTAGCAGCTAAGAAAAATCCTAATTCTAGGATTCTTCTCTGCAGCAGAAGAGACAGTGAGGGTTAAAGCAACTATGAACCTGGAGGTATTCAGGCAGCCTCAGTAGTTAAACATCTGATTCACTCCCTCCTAAATGCTACCAAGGAAAACGTGAAAAAGCAGGTAACGCTTCCTTTCTGAGTCACCTCCGAACCCCAAAGGCTCCGATGGCTCTGGCTGGTGCTTTGCTGTGGCAGTGGCAGGATTCATGTCAGAGCAAAGAGCATTTAAGAACACTCTGACAGCTGCCCAAAGTCAGGCATGCAGCAGTAGAGCAAGCAAGGGCATTTTTTCATCTGCGAGGTAAGAAGTATACAGGTTTAAGAGCAGGAATCTGAGCCAGAACTATGGTTTGTTTTTTATCCCTTCCCTAAGTTTACTCCATAAATCTTGCAGACCCCTACCACGTTTGGGGATAACGGCTGAGCTGTAACTCTGAATTTGGTGCTACCTCCACAGGACTGAAACGCTTTCTTGGGACGCTAAGCACATTTCAGGGGAAACCATTAATATAGCCAGAACCTGTACTTGGCTGCTGAGAATCTCTTCGTAATTCATTCTTTCCTTAAATTTCCCACCGTGCGTCTAAACAAAGGGACCTGTGCAGTTATCTCTCTGGTGTGGCAAGACCTGAAGTGCAGTTCTATAATAAACTACCGTCATAAGCATTTCTTAGCATTTGATTTACATGATCCCAGAGAAGTCTGAAACATGAAGGGTGCTTACTCTTGTGTTGTGCCATTGTACCAGCACGCTTGGAAACCCACCAGTACAAACACTGACTTGTTCTCAAGAATCATGGAATATAAACAAAGACCTAAGATTCCCCTTGGAACACTTTAACAAGTAGATTAAATATGAATTTCTTACGAAACTAGTTGCATACTGCTTCTATTTTATACAGTGCTGCCCTTGGCTTGCTAGAAAGTAACACTGCCGTTTGCTCAGCTTTGGGGAAGCACAAAGCTTTGCTGGCCATAATTACAGCATTTTGGGGAGCAGAGGAAATAAACGGAGCTCACGTATCTGCCTGAACACACTCAATGACTTCCAGCCTAAAACCTTCTTGGTTTACAGTAAGCCTTTGCACAGCAGGCAAGCACTGGCTAATGTAGCACCACGACTAACTGGCCCTTTGCCCTCACCAAATGCTGCCCAAGCCGCCAGACGTTGCTTCCTGCACCTGCCGTAACAGAGACAGCCAAGGAGACAGACACAAGAGGGAAAAAGATGAGAGCGGCGACTCCCTCGAGGAGCCGGGGCAGCAAGCTGCTGTCGCTACTGCCTGTGGCAGCGAGGAGGACTCAAAAGCTACACGTGCCTCCCCGAAGGGCGGTTTTCAGTGTAAGGGATCCATTAATCCACAGCAAAGAAAATCAAGTATTGCACTTGGCACTGTTTGCTCAAGCAAAAGACAGGCAGAGAAAAAGGTTTGTCTGATGATGAAAAATCAAAGCAGAGCAGGGCGAAAGGCCTTGCTAGCAGCAACACCCAGCGCCAGAGCTGGAGTCGGTTTGGCGCCGTCCGTTTTCCTACTGTTGGTAACTAGAAAACGAGCGGGCCAGTTCACAGCGGCTCGGCTACAGAACTGCGCTCCTTCACAGGGCAGTCAAAGCTCATTGCTTCACTGCACGGGTCGGTCACTCACTAGACCGAGCACAGGATCTCACCCAACACTCCTGTCTCCATATTTAGCTCAGGCAGGAGAAGGCTACCCTCACTACCTCTCTCCATCCTCCCCGATGGAGACGCTAACAGAAAGCAGTCGTCAGAAAACACACACCACGAGGTGCACATAGTTTTGGGCTCTTGCCGAGAGACAGGCTTGTGATTCAGAGACCACATAGGGAAGGAGTAGTGACACAGTCAAACAAAAATCCAGCTGTGGAAGCAAAAAGCCACTCCCAAGGCAATATCACGATGGCCAAATGGAAAAGACATAACTTCCCCTGCCCCTTCTATGCCTTGCCCTTATCCAGGGCACCAACCTTTGCCTCCCAGACAGCTCACTTCTCCCTCACGCAGCTGTGGGAGGCAAGACCCCTCCTGAAAGCACAGCCAGCTCACAGCAGCAGGGAAGATCCTCAGCTTCACTGGTTTTACTTCCTCCCGGATACCTTGCAGAGGTCAGCTCACTCCAGCTGTCAAAATAGCTCACGGGTCTCCAAGCAAGCAGGATGATTCCACTGACAAGTAGGTCACATCTATCCACCACCTGCGGAGAGCTGCTCAGCTATACGTGGCTTTCCCATTTCCCTCCAATTAGCCACAGCACTCCATCACTGCAGGCAAACAAGCTCACTTGGGCACAGGAGAGGAGGAGAACCTGCAGCAACGTGACAGCTCAGCAACCCAGGGAGCACCGAAAAAAGGTCATAAACTGACCTTATAAGTTTAAAACAGGACCCGAGACAGTGAGGCATGTGGTTACTGGGTTGTGCAAAGACCTGTCCCCCTGACTGGGAAGGACGCAGGGACAGCCGGAGCTGGCTCTGCCCGTGGTTAAATGCACGCGCTGCAATTAGCAGCACCGCCAGGCTCCTTCAAGCGTTCACAGCCCCATCTGCAGGGCATCCGCGTACAGAAAGACCAGAAACCTGCTCTGGTCAGAGGGAAGCAGGCTCAAAACGAAACAAACCAACTCACTCCTAAAAATCA